GGCCGTGGATGCCTCCCAGTCTCCTGACGTGGTGTTTGCCAGCATCCTGGCAGCCTTCTCGAGAGCAACATGTAAAGACCTGGTTATGTTCATTTAGGGCTCCGTCCCAGGACAGAGCTCTGCTTTCTCTCTGTCCCTCTCCCTCTGTCTCTGTTTCTCTGTCTCTGGGGCCAGGGAGGGTGAAGAGCTGAGCAGATAGAAGAGGATGGGACGAGGTGATGCAGCCCAAGGCAGGGCTGTGCTAATTCTCTAATTAAACGAGCTGTTAACGGTCTCTATCTCGCTATATGTGAACGTCAGTCTGTCTGCGGGTGTGGGAGATTTTGGCCTCTAGAGGCCGCAGCGAGCCCAGGCTCCGGCTGCCAGAAGTGGGATCTGGACCCTTTTGGGTCAAAAAGCTTTTGTTTCATCCTAGAAATGCACCTACCTGGAAGGAACTGTGCTTCCAGCTCCTCCTGGCTGCTCCACAGGGGCTTAGGAGAAGGCTGGAGGTCAGGATTGAGTAGTGGGGGAAGGATTTTCCCAGGTGATGTGAAGGTGCAGGAATGAAACATGCAGTTGCTGTGTGTGTGTTGCTGGGGGAGCAGCCGTGGGAGGGACAGTTTGGCTGCTGCTCAGGGCTGGGTGACAACGTGTTCTCCTTGTATGTGTTTTATTCCTGGTGGGATGGCAGGTTACCTGAGAGCACAGCCTGTCTTCCTGTGCTGATGGGACTTAGGGGACAGAAAGTGTGGGGGGGTTTCAACCTCTTGTCATTTGTGGGCCTTAATATAGCAAATTAGTGCTTCTTGCTCTTTTTAAAAACATGGAGTCCGTGTTTAGAGTCTCACAGTCACTTTGTGGCAGGTTGGGATCTTGTGAGGATAAGAAAAGGACTTGGGTTTTATCTCTTCACTCTTGCCTTGGAAGATGTGTTGAGCTTCTCCTGATCCCAAAGTCTAAATATAATAAAGCCTTATTGCAAAACAAATGATTTCTCAAGGCTGGAGAGACAGCATTATTAACCACTGGCTCCATGTGCCCTTGAGCTAACGACCTTCATTACGAGCTCATGGAAATGTTCCTGTTTCTTGAGCAAATCCAAGGGGCTCTCTGTGTGAGGACACTGAGGGGGGGTAGTGCCTTGTCTTCTCAGGGTGACACTGCAAGGCTGGCACTGACCTTTGTCCATGAGGGATTCCAGCCCTTCCTAGAGGACCCCGCTGTAAATATAGATTGGCACAGGTGAAACTTTGTCCTTTGGCCTTCCATGTGTATTTGCTGATTGAGAGTTGCTGAGTACCCTCCTCTCCAGAGGAAAAGGCCCATCTCCCTCCTGTGCACTGAGCTGCTTTGGGCTCTGTGTCCAGAGCAGATGCTTAATCCTCAGGAATCCCTTGCTCTTTTTCTTGATAATTTCTCCTTTGTCTGAAAATCCCATTCTGTCCTCATACATCCTTTCCAGGGAAACAACCTCTTCCCTTCCAGCAAACTGGAAATGACACCGGGGAACCGAAAGCAGTTGACTTGTTTCTCTTGAAAGCACATGACTGGGGAGAAAGGGTTTGGAAGTCAACAGGGCTGGTTTTGTCAGCAGCCTGTGGTCCCCTGGGATTCCCAGATGGCCCTTGCTTTGTCTCTGGCTTTCCTGTGGAAGGGCAGCCCCAATGCCAGCACGCTGGGAGGTCGGGATAGCCTTTGGGATAGGATTCCTGTGCTCCAGGGAAGGGGAAAGTGTCTGTTAGAGCTGCCTTGGTGTCTCAGTGACTGTAAAGAAGTTCTGAGTAGAAGCAGCTTTTATCTTGAGAGATTCAGAGAGCTGCAGCCCCCTCCGTGCTGCCATAATGGCAGGGAAGGGTTCCCAGCCACTTGGCATTCCTGGATTTGGTCAGGGTTTTACTCTACAGCAAGAACAAGATGTTCCTCCACTCTTCATTCCTTTCCTCCCTTGTGCTCACTTTGCATCCAGCTCACCAGCCTTTTTCTGCCATAAACCATGCTTCATTTTGTTTGATTTTTTTTTTCCCCCTAAATATTTTTTTTTTCTCTTTGTTCCCATTTATTCCAGCTGAGTGACTCCGTGAACCAGATGAGACACCACCAAACGCTGCACACTCTGCTACATCACCCATTGCAGCCCTCCCTTGGGTGCAAGGGAGGGCAGCTGGGAGTGGGGGGTTATGATTGATGGGAGGGAGGGGAAAGGAGGTGGTAAACAAGGGGTTTGGGGGCTGATTTGGTAGGGTTTTGGTTGGATTTCTTATTCGGCAGAATCATTGTGAAGAAGAGGTGGCCTTCTCCTTAGAAATCATGTCTGGGGAGGCAAAACAAGACAGTGAAACACCTCTGAGTGATCAGCTACAGGTCCTTGACCTGTTGGAGGGTAGGGTTAGGTGCCATTCCAGGCTTCTCCAGGACTTTCAGGGCTTGTCTCGTGGGCTCTTGGTACCCTGAGGCCACTGAAAGGTTTGCTGTGATTTTCCTGAAGTTGCTTCCTGTCAGCGAGGACCAAAATGAACAAATGATGCATCATGTCTGAAACGGAAAGGAAAAAGAGGTGCCATGGGTTTTTCCTGGAACTTTTGTTTTTCTTGTTCTGCTGCATTCCTAAACCCTGGCACAGAGGCTTCTCAAGGATTCTCTGCTGCTGAAGAGGGGCTGTGGCTCTAGTCCAAACCTGCCTTACCTGGGAATGGGGTGGCTTTTCTGTGATCATGACCAAGCTGGAATTCACACAATGCTGAAGAAATGCAAAAGAGACTTTCTTAATTGCCTGCAAAAATAACACTTAATTGGGGGGGTTTTTTTGCATTTCTTTTTAGATCAAATGGTGCCTTGTCTAACCTCTGAATCAATAATAAAATAACCCCTTTACATTTGTATCTGGTGCTGTGTCCTCTTTGACCTGCAGACAGCGAGGAGGATGAGGAGGCAGATGACAGCATCAACTAACAATTGTGCTGGGTGGATCCTGGGGCCTGATCCTATCTCAAGGATGTTCTGTGCAGCTGAAAATGTGGCTTGTAATTCCTTTTATCTCTTCTCCTTGCTGAGTGTGTCCAATGCTTTAGATCACCATAGCAATGGTGCCTTTTGCTGGTTCTCTTTCCTGTTCATGCGTGACTCTGAAAGCACCGAGCCCCTGTGCATCCTGTTTTTCTCTCTAGAGCTCCTTGCAGGTACTTCAACTGATGTAATTCCTTTTTTTCCTCCTCCCTTTGCATATCCAGTGTGTGGAGGAGCTGATGTTGTTATTTTCTTGTCTCTTCCTGCAGCAACTGGAAGCCATATATTGTGTATTCTGTTTCTGCTCATTTGCTTTCTGCCTTTCAGACCTTCTTGCATCCCTTCCTCCACCCGTGCCTCTCTAAATTCACAGGGAAAAAAACTGTCTAATTGCAGGGAATGAGAGCATTTCCTGCTCTCCCTTTCTCCTGCCTCCACAGGGACCCTGACCCTCAGATATCCCAGAGGAGGCTGTTCTTGATGTGCTGATGGAGTTGTTTATCCACACTTCTTGCAGCCGTGCTTGTGTTCAGGGCTTTGGTTCAGGCACCGTGGCCCAGCACCAGAAAGGGTTGGGCTGCATATGCCCATTTCCTCCAGAAATTACTGGTTTTCCAGCATAACTGGGCTCTCCTGCTCTTCAGCCATTCAGTCTCTGTGCTCAGGTGTCTTTGTTACCTCTCTGTACCTCCCATTACCACTCTTTTGAAGCCAAGCTTGTGCCTCCCTGACTTCTTCCCTTGTTCCTTTTGATGGTGGATGTTAAACTATGCTCTTCCTCGTTGTCTGGGATTGTGTCCTCTGCTCCCTGCCTGCTGTTTTAGAAACCTGTTCTGCCTGCTCCTCCTGGCTTTCTGGTCCGCGGGATGGAGAAATCTTAGCTCCTCTGAGGTGATCCTTACCTGAGTGTGGAGTGTGAAATGGATTATTGGGATGCTGTGGAGTTGGATCTGTGCTGTGACCTGTCTCTCTCACGCTGACCTTGAATGTTTTCCACAGCACACGATGCTCTGCAGGTGCTGTAAATTCCTTCTGCTCAACCATTTCGTTCCAGCAAGCTGCTTATCAGGCACTCTTTTGAAAACTGTGTTCATATTTCATACACACAATTATTCAGCAGCTATAAAAGGGGAAAATTCCTATTTATAGCACAAGGACCAGCATCAAATAGGACACTGAATTCTCACTGATAGAGGAAGTGACCTGTTCTCTAATGCAGCAATATTTCTGCTGAAAAGAAACAGCATCTTGGATGGGGGGAGGGATGAAAGCCCTGGGCCATCTCTTTCCATTAAAAATGTGCTGCAGACCTAAAAATGTATCTGCCCTTCTCCCTTCCCAACGAAACCTTCGGCGACAGGGATTGCAGGAAAACCTTTCACTGTGGGTTTGTGGTTAGTGGTAATGAACCCACCGACTCCTGATGGTCTGGCTTGGAGCTGGTCTTAGGTTTCTGATCGTTACCTGATCTCTGACCTTGACCTGGGAGTGAGGAGGAGTCACTGCAGAGATTTCTGCCGCGGGCGAGTAGCACAGATCCTGGTCCGGGGGGAGTTTGTGCCACCACAGCCCTGAACCAGCGAGCACATGGGGCTGAGGAACAAAGAACTGGCTGGGAGCAGTGAAGGGAGGGAGTGGAAAGGTGGGAAGAGCTCAGGGGGCACGGGTGGAACTGTGGATAAGGCAAGAGCCTGTGTGCTCTGAGCCTGCTTCCCGTGACTGCCCCTGCTCCCCCTTCCCTTCCAGGCATATCGACCCACGGCTTCCCCAAGGCCATCACTGGCCATTCCCTGCTGCTGTCCCCCTGCCCTTCCCGCGGTCTCTTTAGGAAGAGCTGCAGTGGGTGATACCAAGCGAGGCCCTGGGAGGTGGAGGACCGGAGGATGGGATTCCCCTCCTGTCGCTGTGGCAACCGCTGGGCAGGAAAAGCAGCAGTGGGATGCGATGGGTGCGCTGGGGAGGCTGCGGGGGCCGGGCTGCGCTGACATCACGCAGGGAGGTGGTGCAGAGGGAAGGGGAGTGGGAAAGGGAGAGCGGGGAGACTGCGGAGGGGAGAGCGCTGCACAGGGAGTGGGCTCCGGGGACAGGTAAGAGATGCTCGGGGGCAGCGGGTCAGGGTGGGCTCCACGAGTGCTGGGTGATGTGCTGCGGGATGGCTCCTGGGAAGCAGGAACGTTATACAATGCCCGAACAGCCTGGCACAGCAGGGCTTGGCTCTTGGACAGCGAGGCCAGGTCAGAGCCTGGCTGGCTGGTGCAGAAACTGGTGCAAATGCTTCCCCTCCAGGATACCAGTATGTGTGTCACTGGCACCGTGCTGGGAAGAGCCAGGAGTACCTATGCCTCCAGAACAGGCTGAAGGGACTGGGGAGCAGCCCTGGTCCCTCTCTAGGAAAGGGAAGCAGAGCTCTCCCTAGGGATTAGAGCACAAATCATCGATGAAATGAATCAGAAGTTTGGAGACCTCGTCCCTTGAGCTACATCTATCTTAGAGGAGGCTGTAAGCAGAGCTGGAGCACTGGGACCAATCCCAGAAGCATGGCTGGGGTGGGAATCCTAAACTCTGCACATGGAGATGCTGCACATCTCCAGCAGCCTCAGCACTTACCCTTCCTGTGCAGCAAGCAAGAGTTCTGGGGAAGGCAGCCAGGGGCATGACCATTGCCAGGAGCTCTCTGGATGTGGATCCTGGGGATCTGCAGACCTGGAAGGCAAAATAATGAAGTCCTTGAGACCTCTCTGGGCATCATGTTGCCTTTTAGCACAGCGGTTGCATAACGGGATCCGATCTGCTTGCGGAGGGAGCAAGGGTGACGGTCACCTCTGTGCCCTGCAGCAGCTCAGCAGTGCCTACCCCCCTCCCCGGGGGGGGGAATTTCATCTTTCTTCCTAATCCAAGGGTTCCTTAATGCTTGAAAAACTGGTGGGTTCACAGCTCCGATTCCACGCGATGTAGGGACTCTACGCCTACACGCAGCACTAGGAAACTAGAAAGTGAGTTTGTTGGCACCCACTCATCTGTGCTAACCTGATTTTGGCCTGTTAGGATCCTTGGTGTGTATCTGACCGAGGAAAGTACATTTAGGGTCAAAAGCCCAGTGTTGGTAACCCCTGTGGGTGTCAGAAACCAGTACTGGGGTGGAGATGGAAGAGGCACAAAGTAGAAACCCTGTTTGAAATCCAAGAACAGGGAGAGGCCACTGCTCATGTGCCAACAAGTCTGTTGAAATAACACATTTTTGGAGTCATTTGAAGGGCTGGGGGCAGCGGTGGGGCCATGGAGAAATGCAGCCAGGAGTGCTGGAGAGTATGTGAGAGAGCACAGTTGCAGTAACGAGCATAAATAGGCTGTAATTAGGGAAGCAACTGCCGTGTGATGGACGATCCTTGCTCAGGAAGGCACAGATGCTGGGTCTACGAGGGAGCACTTGGGAGTGGCTCAGGTGGCCACAGTGCTGCTTGTGACATGGAAACTGGAAACAGCAGCAGCTTGTGCTGCTTTGAGGGGCTTCTGTGGGAGCAAGGGGTCGGAGCCCCACGCGTGGAGGGTGCCAGGCAGTGCTGTCACCCCCAGGGCCGCGTGGCCAGCTGTGTTCTGTGCCTCTGGCATGGGCAGGCAGGGAGGAGAGGACCCATCAGCAGCTCTGTGCCAGCCCTCAGCACCACACGGGGCAGCTGTGCTGGGAGGGAGCCAGCCCGGGATGGGCCCCGGCATTCCGAGCGGGACCTCGCTGGAGCCAGGCTCCCAGGACCTGGAGCCAGGCTCCCAGGGCCAGGTTGGGGAGGGTGCAGGGAGGAGTCAGCGCTGCTGGGCTGCAGTTTCAGTCCCCGAGGTTGCGGTTCTGCACGACCGGCAGCGGGACTGCTCTCAAAGTCGTGTTTCAACTTGATTTTTTTTTCAAGGTTATTCAAAATCTAATGGGGGAATGGCACCAGAACCTCCCACAAGCAGGAAGTCCAAGTCAACCCTCCCAGTCCTTGACTTTCTCCGCGGCTCAGCTGGCTCTCCTTGTTTTCCCCCACACTTGCCTACACTGCAAAAGGGATGATCATGTGAATATTACATAGTCTGGCATCTGCACATCAGCTGCAGCAGCTGAGGCTCTGACATGCTCCCAGTGCCTTCATGTGACCCCGTTCCACAGCCGTGCTGTTACCTGTGCATTCGGTCCCCATCACAGGCTGTCACTGCCAGACACACAATAATAATGAAATACAATAAATGGGAACTTGTGCTCCCTCCTGGGAAAAGAGCTTTGGAGCTTTGAGCCTCTGCAGAGACCTGGAGCGCTGGGAGGAGCTGCCCTTGTGCCAGTGTCCAGAGAAGGCCCTGGGAGCTGAGCCAGGTGCTGTGAGACATTTTAATCCTTCCTATTCCATAGTCCATCTTGGCCATGACTCCGCTGCAGTGAATGTTTTCCCCTTCCCAGGGACACTCACAGGCGCCTACCTTGTGTTTGTTTTCACTCCTTATCTGGTACCAGTGGGAGCAGGTGGGGCACCAGTGAGTCAAGGAGAGTGGGAACACACATTCCAACTTCCTCTTGGGCCGCCCTGGAGTCCCCTTGATCCTCTCCCTAAACCCAGGCTGAAATTTCTCTCTGCTGAGGTAGCTGTTTGTTTAATAGCTGAGGTTACTTGAGTAATCAATAGCTCTCTGGTTCCCAACAGAAACATTATCCCTTTGGCCAAATCAGCTTTCCAAATCAGCTCTTCTATCTTTGCTATAAACCTGCCCCTGGCTCTCAGCTCTGGGAGGATTTAGGTGCATTCCTGACCTACCTGCACAGAGCCCCACTCCTTTTCTTTCCTTCTGCCAGTGTCACTTTTTCTCTCTGAGGTTAAGCAAGAAGGGCTGGAAGCACATGGAGAAATTGCTGGATTTATTGGACTCTTCAGTCTCAGCCCTTCTCTTGGCTCTGCTCCAACAGCTCCTTCTCTGTGCCTGTTTCCCTAAGGAGGGAGGTGAGGAGAGTCAATGGGATCCTCGTGGCCAAGGGCATTGCTGATATAACTCCCAGTCCATGGGCTCCAAGAGAACTTGGCTCAGCCACTGCCAGACGAAGAAAAACTGTTCCCATCACGCAGCAGGAGCTGTATCCCAGAGAACAGGGCTGGAAGACAAGGTGCCCATAGAAAGGCTCCATGGCTGCACATAAATTTTCCTTGCAAACAGGCAAAGGCACCGACTCCCTGGAGCTGGATTTCCAGTGGTTCCATCCCAGCAGCCAAAGGCTGGGCTGTGGCTCTGGGCTCCAGTTTCCTATGACTGAAGGAGGCCACGGGGTTTGTTCTGCTGCTGGGGCAGTGGAAACTGCCTTGCTGTGCATTGTGAGCATCTCTGCACATCTCTGTTCTTTCCAAACCAGAAAAGGTCACCGAGACCCAAGAGAAACCCACTTCCCTCCTTCACTGAACTCCTTCTGCCTCGCACATGCTTTTGTTGCCATCCCTCGCTTGCCAAAGGCAGGAACAAACACTGGGGTTTGGCAGAGCTCAAAGCCTTGGCGTGTCTGATGGGAAAGAGGCATTCTTGGTCCTCAGCCCGGGGACAGGGCTCTGCTCCATGTCCACTGCCAGCTTTTCCAGCTGCAGTTTTGCTGCTCATCCCATGCTGAGAGCACTGGTCTGGGGACAGGCAGCACCCCTGGGTGCTGGGCTGTGAATCCTGCAGGGGATCCATGGAAAGTGGGCGGGAATAGCTGGAGCAGGACCCAGAGCTACGTGAACCCCAGCATGTTGCTGCGGCTGAGCTGCACGTACGGGGGGACGTGCAGGAGTCGGCGCTGCCCCGAGAGGCTTTTCCCCAAGAATTAATGATGCCAAGGGAACAGGGAAAGGCAGAGGGAGGCCGTGTAGAGCCAGGCTGCCTCTGCTTTGGTTAAATAGGGCTGGTTTTGCTGACAAGTTCCCCCTGAGAGACTGCAGGGCTGAGATGGGGAGGGATCCTGGAACTCAGAGGCAGCTGGAAGGTTCTTGGCAGCTACTGCTGTTTCAGAGTCAGGCACTGGATTTTCCTGGTGCTTGGGGGAACTGGGATGGCAGCCTGGATCAGAGATGGCCAGGCTGGACAGATGAGAGGCGGTCATAGCTTCTGCCTCTCTGTTGGAAGGATGCTCTGGAGCAGCAGCAGGGCCTGATTTCAGAGAAGCATTTGAGGTCTCAGTGCACAGTGATCGCCCCAGAAACCTCCTACTCAATTTTCTGCTGTGCACAGCCCAGCCTCAGGCAGCACAGGGGGTAATTTGCTCAAACACTGGCTAAGGCAACCCACATATGACAAGCCTCAGAGAGGGAAGAGGGTTTCTCATGGTGGTAAAGGGGTGAGAGAGAGGAGGGAGGGAGAAGAGGAATTTCCTGGCTGTGGTAAAGGTGGGCTCTGCTTGAAGAGAAGTCAGAGAGAATGGGTTTGTGGTCATGACATCAGGCTGGGGGAAGGAAGGAGTGGGTCAGCAGCAAACCCCAGCAGAACAAAACCCATTTGCCTTCTCATGATGGCCTGGGAATGAAGGACACACCAAACTACAGCTCCCCTCTCCCTTTGCCCACCTTGTTCTGCTGCAGAGAGAGCAGAGCACAGGGGGGGAGCAACCCTGGACTGAATCAGCAGCCAAGGGTCGGGCTGGGGAAAGATCTCAGCTGAGACAAGGGAACCCTGATCAAGCACATGTTCAAAATTTCCCACCTGGTTAGTGCTGGCTCAGCCCTCTGGAAAATGACACACGTTTTCCTTGCTGCGGGGCCAGAGGGCTGTGCTGGGAGCTGTCTGCTCTCCCGTCCCAGCTGCAGATGAGAGGTGCTGCTGGCAGGGTCCACAATCACTCTTCTTTCCCCTTTTGACAGCTGTTGCTGGTTAGGAAAATGGGAATGTTCCCCAGCCAGTTCTCGGCAGGAACTGCCCTTTCCAGGGCTGACCACTTGGGCTCTTTCTTCCTCTTCCCAGCTCCTGACAGTATTCACAGATTTGGGTACATTCTAGTCTTGGCAAAGCACTGCCCTTCCCTGCTTCTCTTCCTCACATGACACAGGAGAGGCTGTGGCCTGTGAAGGAGGAATGTTTGTTCTTGGACTTAGATCAGTATAATTCT